ATTGCAATGGCTTCTCCCAACGTTTCCTTCCCAAGCCGACAGCACGGCGGCAGGCAGGCCCCAAGGCCGTTTGACAAGTCGGCAGCAGCCTGGGGGAGAAGACAGAAAGCTGGTTCTCCAGCCGGGCCCCTGCCTTTTCCCTCCAGCAGACCATGCCACCTGGGCTCTGGGGCCCCTATGTCTGCCACCTCTGTGGCCAGACGGGCAATAATGTCCAATCTCCAAAACGTTAAAGGCAAGCACTATGCTTCGTTAAAATTAAAGCCAGTGCCCCCAACAGTCTGAGCATTCACCCCTGGCAGACGCTTCCACGCCCCCTCTGCCCTCCTTGCTCCGCAGGGACCGCTGCGTGCTGCAGCAGCCCACCCAGCACGCTCACTCGCGTGTTTATCCCATTCGGTGTCCCACGGTATCGCAGAGAGAGTCAAGTGTCTCACCAAGGACTGTGTCTAGGCTCTGCAGATGAATCACACCGAGATAAACGATGGGGAATGTAATCGTGCATGAATGTAACATGCCCGCCTGGCCAGGACTGAATTTTAGTGAGGCTTTATGCTGTACTTACCATTCCATGAGGTCTGTGCTTGCCCACAGTACAGGCTGCCTCTTACCGTCAGCAGGAGGCCAGTAAAGGCCCCTGAAATGGTGCTGTGCTTTAACCCGGCCGACAGCTCAGCCCCACGCAGCCGCTCGCTCACTTCCCCGTGGTGGGATGAGGGAGAGAATCAGAAAAGTGAGAGAACTCGTGGGTTGAGATAAAGACGGTTTAATAGGTAAAGCAAAAGCTGTGTTCCCCGAGCAGCAATCACTGGCCCCCAGCCAACTCCCCCCAGTATATACTGGGCATGATGTCATCCGGTGTGGGATAGCCCTGGGCTCAGCTGGGGTCGGCTGTCCTGGCCGTGCCCCCTCCCAGCTCCCTGTGCCCCTGGCAGAGCAGGGGGAGCTGAAAGGTCCTTGCCTGGTGTAAGCAACAACTAAACCACCAGTGTGTTACCAACATTCTTCTCATCCTGAATCCAAACCACAGCGCCATGCCCGCTCCGAGGGAGAAAACTGACTCTGTCCCAGCCGAAATGGGGACAAATGGGGCTGGGAATGACGCTAGGTGATGCTAGGAAAACAGTGCAGCACCATTTTTGGAATTTGAGGCTAAGAATGGCTTCAGGCAGGTTCTCCTCATCGTGGCTGAAATGATCCATGCCTGGGGCACCCAGCAGCACCCCGGTGGGAATGATTTGTGGCTTCAGTACAGGTGAAGCCAAGGAGACTCCAAACCCGTTAGCTTAGAAAATGAATCCTAAAAGCAGATCTCAGGCCTGCTTATTTGAGCAAATTACTGCGAGGAGGGAAGTCCTCTTCCGAGCTGCTGCACTGAATTCAGATGTCAAAAGGCGTACACAGCGCCCAAACTGCCCGTGGCCAAAGGGCACTTCCATGCGAACGCAGACGCTAACAGGCTCGTGACAGTAACGTCCCCTGACAGCGGAGGAGACATCTAGGTAAATGCGAATACCGACTGCTTACAGGGTAACGTCCATGGCAAAAGATCCTGCCACGGGGTCCACCCCACTGACAGCTTCACCAACCTTTTGTCGACGCAGATCGCATGTTTTTTCTAGGCTGCAAGCCCCAAAGCGAACCACTGCCCTGGAATGCTGCAAAATGGCCCGGACCTCCCTCTGCACCGCTGGGAAGAGCAGAACACCCGGTGCTGAGGTGAAAGGCATGGCAATTTGCCTCACTGATGCTGTAGGTACGTCACCCAGCCCAACTGCATGTCATGGATCTGTCCTGCTTAAGTCTTATCCCTTTGAATGTTCTCCTTTTACTTCTCAGTATTAAATTAACCCTGTATTGCATCACCAATAATGGCACGCTCCTTCTCCAATAATTGCACGTTCTTTCTCTCTGCTGCCCCAGTAACAGGCTGAGGGAATCACAAGCTGTGGTTTCACTTGCAAACGGTTTTTTTCTTCAGGTTGAGTTATTTTTAACCTGGCTCAATTCCCAAATTAGATTCACCGCCTGGCGGCATGAGAAGCTGTACCAGCGCATTGGGAGGAAGAGGAGAGCGCGTGCTACAGACGTGGAAGGCGGCCCAGGTGTCCAGAGGGAGGGCTTGGGCTAGCACCGCTGCCAAGTGCTTGTGGAGGTGCAGCCTTGGCTTCTCATTTTTCACGAGCGTCCACAAAGAGGCCTAAGAAATGGTCCCAATGCACACGAGAGCCAGGGAGGCTGTTTACACCTGTGAGCTGAGAACACGCTGCCAATGTGGGGACTTCGGTGGTTTCCTAAGATCTGTCCTCAGACTACCTCAGGTAGACAAAGCCATGAGGTGTAGATGGTCGTGATTGCTCCCTGCCGCTTGGGGTCACCCCTTTACCCTCTCCCAAACGCAAAGGAGGAAAGCACGGATGCAATGGCAAGTTCAAAGCACCAACAAAGCGTCCAGACTGAAACAGCCACCAGTGTTCCCTTGGTACATCCAGAAGAGCCAGGACTTGAGCCTGTCCTGACTGCATCTTGTCCTCTCTGCAAAAGGAAGGTGACAAACACAAGCCACTGATTCTCCAGGAACCTCGTCTTGCCCTCCTGCAACCCAGCTGGGACTTCACAGGCTGGTGAGAACTGCCAGTGGTCGGTAGGTGCCTTGCGGGAGGCACTCTGGACCCCGCGGTTTGGCCCCTAGGAGAGCTCCAGGCCCCACACACTGTAAGGCTGGGAGAGGATGTTTTTCTGTGTGCTTTGGGACCATGATCAGCAGCAGCTAGCTTGACAGCAGCTCAGCGATATGAGCTGCAAAGCTGTGATTGTCTCAGGAGCTAAATGAAGCGTGGCTTGCAGAGGAAAGGAACGGCACTCATTAGTGAGTAATAACAAAAATGGAGAAGCTTTTCGGGATGAAATACGTTGACCCTGAAACAGAAAATTCCCACTCCAGGACAAGTGGCACTAGAAAGACTTACTACTCTGGGTTTAATTTAATTACGTCAAGAGAAAAAGATGGTCAATACCTGTGGAGCAGAAAGAGATACGTGAAGAGCAGAGGTGGCAAGGCCTGCAGAGGGAATTCTCACCCAAGGAACAGTGATGGTTTGTACCATAAGGCTGGATGGGAACAGCCATAACATCAGCATCTCCATGGTCAGACTGGGAAGGAAACAAGGTTTACTGAGTGTTGTTTTCATTAGGCCTGCTGTTACCCTCTAGCTGAGAACAGTGGCTTAGTTTCTTAATGAGGTTTTTATTTCCCCAAAGCTCATTTACTTTTCCAGGTTACTGCACCCCTCTGTAAACCAGGTCTCCCAAGGAAGACAAGCCCTGAGCAATCACAGATAAAATCCTACTCCTTAAAAATGCTTCTCCAACAGGGCAGGAAAAGAAAAAATAAAAATTGAAAAAAACTGCCACCTTCGAAACAAAAAAAAGCCAGTATGAGAGAGTTAAAAAGGGTCAGCAAGCTGCATGAAGGCACTGTCTCTGCAGGCATCCCCTGGCCTCACCCAGCCGGAGCCGACTGCCAGTGGACGTTCACCCACTGCTGCTGCAGAGCCTCCCCGCTCGGCT